AGAGTATACACATAAAATATTATTTCATTAAACCAAAACTTGGAATAAGTTATATCACCGAACAGTATAATATTATAAGATTTTTAGCCTATATTGTATTGTAATTTACTAACCGCGAATTCAAATTGCTTTGGTGTGTACCATATTATTTAATTTTATCAATAAATATGTATAAATAGGAATCATAAACTAATAATTATTTTAAGCAAATCTTCACACGTGACGTCGCCGCATATTGTCATGCAAAATTCAATTAAAAACAACAAGGAAATGTTCCAAACTTATTCATTTTTTGTTCTGTCAATGCGAAATAAGAAAGAAAATAGTTAAAACAAATTGTTGGCATGTCATTGATATGGAATCAAAATTTTCTTGTTCGTCAACCTTTAAAGTCATAGGCTTTTCCAAGACTGGTGGCAAGAGTACATTTCTCGGACGATATGCTATCGAAGAGTAGATGAATTCGTGAACGCAGAGGTCATCTCCGTGCTGGTAATTTTGCTAGAAATTACATTTTGAACAGATCTTTGGTCATCAGTCGCGAGCATTTATGTTAGGCATTTTGAGACATTATATTAAGTGTAAGGGACACTCTTACTTAAAATAATATCAATATAATGCCGGTCTCAACGGAGAAAAACATCTGCGTTATACTTACTGCACGAGTGAGCGCGCGTTAACTGTTAACGTAACGTTAAGCGTATGGAGTGTAGAAGTAAGGAGTACAGATTGTGTATTAAAACTGTCCATAGAAAACCATTAAATAAGGGTGGCAACACTATAGCTACGGGTAAAATTATAAAGAAATGTGGGATAGACGACTTTTTTGAGGTTATATTTACTAAATAAAATTATTTTAGATTTTAGAGCTACTGAGCAGTTTAGCAGCACACTTCAAATCGTCGACAAGTGCTAAGTTCATTTCATCCCTGAAGCTACTCCAGCGCTGTTGTAGAGAGTTTTTGACACTTTTTCAACTATTCTATTATGGGAGTTGGTACTCCTTACTTCTACACTCCATAGTTAAGCGTTTACTGTCTATATCGTCACTCTTATTCTCAATTTTTGGCAGAAAACGCAATAACGTATTAGTATTTTGACGGTCGTTAACTTTTCGGATACTATTTTCTTGATGCCAGTAAAGTATTTTTATTTTTATAATAAAGTTTGTCTAAGTATAATCCGACGCTGGACACGATCATGAAATAATAATATAATATATTATAGATATTTTAAAGAAAAGTTTTTAAAATAGTCACAATTATGACATCTATTACTTGATTGAAACATGAGTGTAATTGTTGCGATCCCATATATAATTTAGGCAACATCTACCTTGCTATCTACAGGAAAATTCTGGAAGCAATCAATTGAGCAGTATTTATGGAAAAGTGAAAAAGCTTTTTGTGGTTACTTAAAATTCCAAAAATATTCGTAGGTCATGATATAATAGACACACAAATTTGATAGGCTAGGATGAAGAATGAAATACACACATCACAACGCAACCTCACCGAATCGAACACTTGATGAATTTGTTCAAATTTTGTCTTCGGGAGGGGTTTAAATCCACCGTACCAGATACTCTGATCGGAGGTCAGAGAGATTAAATCAATTTATTTCTCTCGTACTCTATTATAACTTCAAATAACGATTACTTCAATCAATAAAAACAAGACAAGATGGCAAGTTCTTTTCTGTTAGTAAGTATAGTTCTTTTTCTTGTGTGTTAGCTCTTTTTTGCATTTACTCTAAAACATTGACTTAACTGTTTTATTTTATATAACAAGGCAATACTACAAAACATGGTTCTGAGACTTGTGTATTGAACTATCTTCCACCATATTTTAATATGTATATCGTACTGAACTATTTTTGTTGAAATTAAACATAAAATAAACAACTATTATTTTGTACTTACATTTGAGTTCCTTGCCATCGGCTGTACATTTGCCCTCATCAAGGATACACTTAATGTAGGGCATGAGCAGGCGAGGGTTGCCGAGCATCTCGTCTAAGTCGACGTTGTCGTAACGGTCGGTGTAGTGCTCGGGTCGGCCGAGGGCCACAGCCACCACCGCGAAAAAGCACACAACGACGAAGCTTTTCATCTTCGAACTATATAAAAATATATATTATAAAATCTTTTATTTTACTAAATATAATGTATATGTTTAGCACGATTCAATAATATTTAATATATATATATATATATATATATATATATATATATATGTGTATATGTGTGTGTGTGTGTGTGTGTGTGTGTGTGTGTGTGTGTATGTTTTATATTGTTTAATTAAATATATAAACTAATTTGGCTTTTTAAAACTTAGGGAAACTTGTCTTTAAGGCAAATAAATTCCTTCACAGTTACTTTCATCTCTCTCTGGAACTAACTGCTTGACTTGCGAATAATACCCGCTAAAAATATATTTAAAGGAAAACTATACGAACATATCCGTAGCTTACAAAGCCGAGTCACTTGCTATCTATGTTTACACTTAAGTATATGTACTGATTTATATACACTCTTACATTTATTGAATATATGTATAAGTGTGTGTATTGCATGTATGTTTTGGATATATAAATTAATGAATTCAAATTCATTAATTTATATATATATATATATATATATATATATATATATATATATATATATATATATATATATATACATATGTATATATATGTATACTAGCTTGCCAGGCAGACGTTGTTCTGCCCGTTTCCACGACATTTGTCATGTCCTATTAAAAATCCTTAAATTTGCAAGAAAAAATTGTGGGTCACTCATGGGCAAAAACACTATCCTATCTCTCAAGTTGGACCAAACTGCACATGGTGTGCAAATTAGATTAAAATCGGTTGAGTAGTTTAGGAGTCCATCGCGGACAAACAACGTGACACATAATTTTTATATATTATTATATATATATATATATATATATATATAAGTAATTGAATTTGATCATGACAACTAGTCTGCCCATAACTCACTCTTTGTTCTACCCAAGGTTAGCAGGTAGCGAAGGCCATAAAACATAAAGCTCGTTTTTTATAAATACTTTGGTGCAATAAAAAATAAAATAAAATAATAATATATTAATATAAAAATGTAACGGTTTCGGTAGCATACTTTGTTTCGGTACTGTTCAGCAGTCGCAGCAACAAACGATATGAATGAATAAAAAAAAATACTGTAAGAGAATAATTTAAAACATATGCTAAGATAGTAAAAATACAACTGTTATAAAGATTTACCTTTTTTAATAAATGAATTACGACAAGAAAGAAAAAAATGTGCTTCTTGCTTGCAAGCAAACTATGAACTAACCCATGAGACTACTACCAGGGTAATATATAGCTAGTACATGGTAGGTAAATGAATTAATATTGATATCCGTGACGTAAAAACTGTACCGGTTAGTAAAGTTCCAATTGCACTTTCGCACTGACGCATTTAGTCTCCACATATAGTTTCCAAATATAGACTGAATAACAGGTGATTGTAATTAATTATATAATAAATTTGAATCCTTTAGCGTTCAGTACCTCCAAAAATACGGAACCCTTATAGGATCAATAAAGATATTAAAAGTTATTTTGCAACCATCCGCTAAATTAAATTAAATGATGTGTCTTCCCTAGTTTGAAGAGCACCTCCCGCCCTCCCTCAATTGCGTGCACTAATCCCGTCACCACCAATCCCAGCAACACCACTCCTAACGCCACTACTCCCAACACCACTATTCGTGGAAAGACACACCATCGACGATAATACGACACGTGTTTCGCCTCTACACGAGGCATCTTCAGGTGATGTTGTGTCTACGGCGGCTGACCGCTAAGAATCAGCCGTCGTAGAGTCAACATCACATATTTTTATATTAGCAAACTCATTTATCAAAACCTATAGGGCAGGGATGGCAAACCAAAGGCACGCGTGCCATGGATGGCACGCGACACAATGTTTTCGGCACGCCACTGATCACTAAATTCACTATGATGCAGAATAAATAATAGTACTAAGACTATGAAGTATTATAATATTACTACGTTAGTACTCTTATTAGTTTGTGAATATTACTAACGAACACGAGTGATCCTACAGGCTGCGGCGGCGAGCGGGAAGCGCGCTCTTTTGTTGTTATCACAGAAATCGTAGTAATATTCTTACCATTTCTGTGATTGTTATAGTTACATCGCGGGCTATTATTGCAAATGACGCATAGTTCGTTTCATCATCATCATCCTTACAGCCCTTCACAAGTCCACGCCTCCCCAATGAATGCATAGTTCGTTTACGCATAGAATAATATTCAATTTCGTTGACTGTATTTAAAAGTTTATTTGTGTAATATTTACGATTTTACAACCCCAATGTAAGTTATATGTCATCTAATCTGCAACAACAGAAGTCACACTAATGCTACTTTAATTTGAATGCGTATAACTGAAACATTTTTCAATATATAATAATAATAATAATATAACACATGACGTAACAGTTAACTGACAAAACTGCTACGTCAACGCAGTCAGTCAGCGCCTTGCGAGAGGTGTGAGCGCCGTGCCGCGGCAGAATTTAGGGTGCAGAGGCCCGTTTGTGCTTATGGCTACACACGAAACGGTGCCGGGCCTGGGCGTCTCCCGTTAATGGACGCCCAAATAATGGATGATGGATAAAAAGATAGTGCGCAAAGGGCCGCTGCCTGGGGGGTCGCCGGGGCGCGTCTGGAGCTGGCGCTGGACGCGGCAGCATGCGGGCCGCCAGCCGAGCGCGAGGAGCTGCACGGTCATCTACCAGCCCTCCGCATCCATCATCCCCACCAGAAGGCTTGGTGTCGGCTGGGTCTTCTCGGACTCAGCAAGCGGCACCCGCCGCTGGTGGAGCACGTCGCATGCGTTGGTCACAAGAAATGAATGCAAACGCACTGCGGGCGTACTTTAGGGCAAAAGGGGAAGAAACTGGATGTTTGGCGTATCGGGCTAGGATGCATCGTCTTTTTGCTGAGCTGGAGCCATCTTTAATCGTCACAGAGCAAAACCTGGCAGACCGAGTTCGGTATATCTTGCGCTCAAATATATTTGATGTCGCCGAACTCGAACGGCTACGACGTGAGGCTGTTCCCTCGTCGGATGAGAATGCTACGGCTGAGGATGCGGCGCCACAAATGGTAGAGCAACCCGCAAACGTGGATGCCGCCGTGAATACCCCAGTTGTGGTTGATTCAAACGATGATGGAACAGTCGCCCAGGAACTGGAATTAGAGCATATGAGGAGTATATTGGAAGAGGCGATTGTGGAAACGCGCAGTACGCCTCTCGAAAATCGACCGCAACTTCCCCGCATAGCCCTAAGCAAGCGGAATCGGGCTGTCGTGAGGGCTCTGAACCCAATGCTGGTTACCTATTTGGAAGCCAGCCGGGACCTTTGCGAGACGGACTCAATTCTTTTTGGCGCCGCGCTGGCAGTCTGCCGTATCATAGGCGCCAAGGTTTCCACGGCTGGACGCGCTACTGGCCATAGTAGCGCTATCCCAGCATGGAGAAGAAGAATTGAGGAACGTATCGCAAAGGCTAGAGCTCTCATCGGCAGACTGATATGCTTCAGATCAGGCAACAACAGGCCAAGAATTGTGCGCACCGTCAGGATGGCGTTTGCTGGGACAAATGTCAGTTTGTCCCAGCCGGATATAACGCAAAAACTGACGGAGCGCATAGATGATCTGAAGCAGAGAATCGCTGCTTGGGGAAAGCGGATTCGGCGATATACCGAGAGGTCGACACGGTTCAACCAGAATCGTCTCTTCCAGAGTGATCAGAAGAGGCTCTATGAATCATTGGAGCGACCAATGGTAAGTGGAACGGGTCCAGCACCGAATCAGGCCGACACTGTAGCATTCTGGCGCGGCCTGTGGTCAGAGCCCGTAAACCACAGCGAGGGCCCTTGGACGGAAGTTGTGGCGAGTCAGTGTGCGGGTATTACGCCCATGGACCCCGTCATCATAACGCCGGATGACGTAGCTGAGGCGGTTCGTAGGGCCCCGAACTGGAAAAGTCCGGGGCTTGACGGGCTGCATCACTACTGGCTGAAGGGGTTCATGGTGTGTCACTCTGTGCTCGCCCGACAGTTTCAAGAGGCTCTCAACCAGAAGTCGCTCCCAAGCCTCTTCACTACTGGGATCACTCATTTAGTTCCTAAAGACCAGGGTACCACAGACCCGAGCAAATACCGCCCCATCACGTGTCTACCGACCATATACAAGACACTAACATCCATTTTGAGCGCGAGAATCACTTGTCACCTGGACTCAAATCAGGTGATGTCGCGCGCTCAAAATGGATGTCGGGGCGGTGGTCGTGGAACCAAGGAACCACTCCTCATTGACGCGGTCATTGGCAAAGTGGTGAAACGCAACCGTCGGAACTTCTCCGCCGCCTGGATAGACTACAGAAAGGCATTCGACTTGGTGCCCCATACATGGCTAAAGAGAGTCCTCGAGCTGTACAAGATAGACTGTACAGTTAGAGACTTCCTCGAGCAGTGTATGGGGCAGTGGAGTACGATCCTTTGTCATCTAGGCGAGCGGATGATGGCTGCGGAGAACCACATAAGGATAGGGAGGGGGTATCTTCCAGGGCGATTGTCTGAGTCCAATCTGGTTCTGCCTCTCTCTGAACCCTCTCAGTACCTTACTGGAGGGCTCCGGGAGGGGATTTCAGCTACGGAAAGGAGGGACAAAAGTGACCCACCTTTTCTATATGGATGACCTCAAGTTATTCGCCTCCAGTCGCTCCCATCTTATGGAATCGCTAAACATCACTTGTGAATTTAGCAATTCCATTGGAATGGAGCTGGGGACGGATAAGTGTGCGGTCCTCCATGTTGAAAGGGGAAGGGTTGCTAACTCTGAGGGCGTAGACTTATCTATACCCGTCAACTTAAGGACCCTTTCCGAGGCTGAAACATACCGATACCTGGGTATGTCACAAAACATCGGTATCGATGAGACTGGTATGAAACAGTCAGTTTGCGACGTGTTTTATGCACGCTTGACCAAAGTGCTTAACAGCCTTTTGTCCGGTGTGAATAAGGCACACGCATATAACGGCTGGGTCATGCCTGTCCTCATGTATACCTTTGGCATACTCAGGTGGACTCAGACTGAACTTAACGCCCTGGATAGAAAAGTCCGCACTACAATGACGTCCCATAGGATGCATCATCCGAGATCGTCGGTAATGAGGCTGTACTTGCCGCGGAAGCATGGTGGTCGTGGCTTCTTGAGCGCGCTCACCATGCATAATCGCGAAGTGTGCAGCCTCCGTGATTACTTCCTGGCGAGATCGGATGATCCATTCTATAAGGACGTCATTTCTTGTGATAAAGGACTTACCCCTCTATCCTTAGCCAACGAGCAATGGCAAGACCCGGCAGTGCAGAGCATTTCCGACCGGGAGACCGTATGGAAGGAGAAGGAGCTCCACGGGAGGTTCTACAAGGCTCTACATGAGCCTTTCGTAGACACAGTAGCCTCCCTCCACTGGCTACGCTTTGGTGATCTCTTCGGGGAAACCGAGGGTTTTGTCTGTGCAATACAGGATCAGGTTATTAAGACCAACAACTATCGGAGATACATCCTAAAGGATGGCACCGTCGACATCTGTCGAGCTTGTCGCCATCCCGGTGAGTCACTTAGGCATGTTATCTCCGGTTGTTCGGCGCTTTCTAACTCTGAGTACTTGCACAGGCACAACCTAGTAGCCAGAATTCTACACCAGGAGCTCGCTCTGAAATACGGTCTCGTGGATCGGAAATTGCCGTATTACAAGTACTTGCCGGAAGCCGTGCTCGAAAATGATCGCGCCAGGCTCTATTGGGACCGGGCCATCATCACAGACAGGACTATTCTTGCGAATAAGCCTGATATTGTGCTGATGGACCGGGCACAGTCAAGGATATTTTTGGTCGACATTACCATTCCGTATGACGAGAACCTCGTGAAAGCCGAAACAGACAAGCAAACAAAATATCTGGACCTGGCTCACGAGGTGACCGACATGTGGGGTGGTCTGCCGACCGAAATTATTCCTGTAGTCGTCTCTGCAAACGGGCTAATCCCAGTCAGCCTCTCGGGTCATCTGAGGCGGCTGGGACTACGTGGCGGACCGCTCCAGGTTCAAAAGCAGAAGGCGGTGCTCCTCGATACCGCCCGCATCGTCCGCCGGTTTCTTTCCCTTTCCCCCTAACCCTCGGCCGTTTGGTCTCCCCTGCTGAGGGCCTCCATCTGGTTGGGCTTTCATTTATTTATGTACTTTTATATTTATTTTATGTTATTGATATTTATGTATATTTGTCTTTTCATTTTCATTTATAATTATATATTTATAGCACCCAACCAGATGAGAAAACTATATAGATACCCCAAAATAATATAATAATAATAAATGTCACAACTCAAAACTCTTTGTTTATTTTTTGGAGTAAGAGAGTTATGAGTCGATAATATTTAGTATTATTTTCCCAATAATCACGAAGACAAAATTATTTTACGGCACGTCTATGAGCTCATTAAACATTTTTTTAGAAAAATGGCACGTTGATACGTAAAGGTTCGCCTCCCCTGCCGTCGTTAATTTGTTATTACGTCAATGTTTTGCGATTACATGTATAGAGGTTCATTTATGTGGTAGGACTGCTATCGTAACTAAGAGTCCATCGGATTAGGAACTACCCTCTTAAGTATTTGTGCTTGCATAGTCGTTTTCAAGTCTGAAGAGTATTAGATAGCCAATATGATTACAGGCTGTGAGACGTTCCATCTTAGTCCTCAGACTTTGAATCTGTAGCCTTATTTGTTCCAAGTTGTCTGCAGGTGTTCATGGACTGCAGTAGCAACTGACCATCAAATGGACTTTTAAGTTACTAATAAGTTAATTCGTCATTACTGTTTTAGAAAAAAAGATAAAACATTTGCAGTAGAAGCATTGGCAAAGTATACGATGTATGGAAGAACATCTTTTTACCTTTAAAGTTAAGTTTGTCCTTCATTCATCTCAGAGCAATATTATTTGCTAACCTTACCTATAATTCCCGGAACGAATGAATATATACATAGATTTTTTCATAGTGGTGATATTTGCCATTGTTGCCACGCTTTGCAGATGGATTGGCAGCCGCAGTTTTTTTTTTGAGTTTTATCACGACGATCCTACTGCCCATCTCCCGTTTCATTTTTCATTGTCGCCTCTTACGGCACCCACGGGAAAAGTGTTGAATGATTAAGAGTAACTTTTTACGTGGTGGAGCCATACTGCAGCTATATATATATATATATATATATATATATATATATATATATATACTTAGTATACTTGTTATATACTTACTTAGTACTTCGGAAAGTGTTCGACAGATGCCCCATATTGACCAAAATGACCCCGACATTCGAGATTACTGTTTTTTATTTTAGATTACTGAAAACGAGGCATTTCATCTTAGTCCTCACGGTTGACAACGCATCTGCATTTTGATTTGTAATCGAAGATAGATGTGGATGTCTATGGACCGCAGAAACCACTTACCATCAGGTGGACTGTGTGCTCATTTGTCACCCTATCCTATTAAAAAAAGCGATTTGCAGTGTCGTTTTTCCTACGTACTCGTACCTACGGCTAAGCTTACGTTGACGTCAGTTTTATTATTATTTTTAACCATACTATGTATTATTGTAAGCTTTTGTGTGCGTCATCGGCTAAAGCTTTAAAAGCTATTAATTATTACTTTTAGCATCACGACCGTTTCGGCAACTTGTTAAGTTTATATGTATAATTTATTCGTAAATAAAAACGGCGCGACGACTGGCTGGTACTAGTAATACTTTTTTTTAAGATCCACAACCCAGTTTTATGTTGCACTTATTCAAACTCTCAGTTATACTATATATACATATTTTTATGTAATAAGGTTGACAAACGAGCTCACAGTCGACCTGATGGTAAATGGTTGCTGTGGCGCATAGACATCTACATTTATCCCCGATTAGGAATCAAAACACAGATGCGTTGTCACCCATGAGGACTAAGATGTAATGCCTCGTTTCCATTCAAAAAGATTCTCCGGATCTCTACACTCACCATACGAAATACAACAGTATTAAACTGCTATTTTACGCTGGTGTTCTGTGAGAGCGTGGTCCTTCCCCGGTCGAGCCGACCCATTTGTGTCACAACCATAATGTAGCTGCAGCGTGGCTCTACCACGTAAAATAATAATAATAATAATAAAGTAATTAATTCATTAATAATTAATTAACAAATTAATAATTAGTTCTTCACCTATGAAATTGCCGTTTTTATAAAAAGTTATATAAAAAAGTTAACGTATTTTTTTTCTATTAATCAAAGTAATCACCCACGCAATCAATTTATGTTTGCCAACGCAGTAGTAGTTTATTGTAGTGTATTCGAGTGTAGTAAGTATGTGTAGTAGTTTCTTAAATAAATTAGCTACACGGGAGGCAACAAATTCTTCAAAAGCATCTTGTGCAGCCTCTCGAGTATTGAATTTTTTTCCGCCAAAATTAGTCTAAATTCTGGAAAAAGTAGGAGTCTGTAGGTGCAAGGTCTGGTGGGTACAGCGGATGGCGGAGAGCTTCCAACCGCAGCTCTTGTAACTTGGAGACTGTCTGTTGTATAGTATGAAGAACAGGAGCAGCGGTGACGAGCGATTGACGTGCGAGTTTCTCCATCATTGTGTTCAGTTCTTCACAGTACACATCATGAATCACATCGGCGCTAGACCACCAAACAGTGACCATCACTTTTCTAGGGGTAAGTTTTCATTTAGAGCATCGTTTAGGTGCTGAACCACGATCCAACCACCTTGCTGAGCGCTTGCGATTATCATACAGTATCCATTTTACGTCTCAGGTAACAATGTGGTTCAAAATTCTTTCATTTGTGTGCCCGTTGAACAGTGCAAGCCACCCCTCGACGCGTACTTCGCGCTGGATATCATTGAGTTCTTGGGGCATCCATTTGTTAAGTTTTTTACCATCCCGTTTTAACGCAAATGGACCAATATTGTTTTGATGCTAACTTCGAAAGCTGCTGCTAATTCAGCCATAGATTGAGAATCATCAGCTTCCACAATCGTCTTTAATTTGTCATTATCGACCAAAATCATCAGTTTCAGTCAGTTTTGATGTACAGTCATTGTTTACATGCTTACCTGTTGAAGACTGCATCTCAATTGTAACTAGAAGGCTGGAAGAAAACAACATGCCCGTAGAATATGCAGTATTTCTCTGCTCTGACACTGCCTTACATCTGGCTATCTATTGTGGAAGGAGGAGTTCTACAAGCAAGTAGATGGTGTGGCGATGGGCTCACCTGTATCTCCCATTGTCGCCGACATATTCATGGAAGACTTTGAGGAGAAAGCCCTGCTTACTTCTCCCATAAATCCAAGATTCTACAAGCGGTACGTAGACGACACTTTCACAATTCTACCTTTAGATAAAGTAACTGTATTTTTTAGACCATCTTAACTCTATAAATTCTAAAATTCAGTTCACAATGGAGTTAGAGGCAAACAATTCCTTAGCTTTTCTAGATGTGTTAGTAAATCGGAGTCCTGATAACACCTTGAGCCATACTGTGTATAGAAAAAAGACCCATACAGATAGATATTTAAACGGTGATTCTCACCACCATACTTCACAGTTAGCTACCGTGGGTAAATCTTTGTTTCAGAGAGCACGAGGGATCTGTGACATTAAACACCTGGCTGCTGAGCTCCAACACGTCAAGCAAGTTTTGCTTGACAACAAGCTTCGGGTCCCGCGCCTACGTCACAGAGAACGAGTGAAGCCGGCCACAGTCGAGCGTGTACCTGCTGTACTGCCATATGTTAGAGGAGTCACTGACAAGATTGGCTACATCTTGAAGCGCGCTTCCATCAAAACATACTTCAAGCCGCCGAAGAAGATTGGTCAGTTTTTACCATCAGTCAAGTGTAACGTACCTCTGCAAGATGCAGGAGTGTACAAGCTTGATTGTGAATGTAGTCTCTCCTACATAGGACAAACTAAAAGATCAATTAAAACCCGCGTTAAAGAACATATAGCTGATGTGAAGAATCGACGCTCCGGGAAGTCTGCAGTCTGTGAACATGTACAGGATCGCCCCCGTCACTACATCAGATTTGATAGACCACAAATCCTCGCTAAAGAACACCGATTCCTTCCAAGGATGATTCGCGAGGCTATTAAAATGAAAAAACATCCTAATTTCAATAGAGAAGACGGCTGGGTGCTACCATCTGCTTGGGATCCCATAATAAATAAAATTAAATCACAACCCAAGCATACAACTGCAAGACTTCATGATACCATACGGTTATACTGTGTGGATCGGAATAAAAGGTAAATTTTAATCTATGGTAACCGCGGTTAACTATGACATCTGGACGTTGAATATCTCAGTCCTTACCGTGACCATGGGTGCTGTAAAGCTCTCGAAACGTCGGGTATTTAAAAAGTTAAATATACGCGATAAATTACGTAAAAACTAGTATTATTTCAATGAGCCTTTTATCTGTTTGGAAAACAAGTATTGACTAGAGAAATTAGGTATCAAATTGTGGATTACGCTATTGCGGTCATTATTTTGTTTATTTACAATATGAAACACAAACGTATAGTTTTCCCAATTTTTTTCTTGTATGTTTAATATGGTTTTTATAAATCATGATGAATATCATAAAAAAAGTACTAATTCCAAGTGAACGAAGTCGCGGGTAAAGCTAGTTTTGAATATAGGACATACTATTGATTCAAATATTTTGGTAAAAGTTGATAATATTGAAATCGGTCTATAATTACTAACTAAAGTATCATCATCCGCTTTATGTACAGGTACAACTTTTGCGAGCATTCACATATCTGGAAAGCGTTCTGTTTTTAAGGGTTTGTTATACATAAAGTAAAGATGAGAAGATAATTCTTTGGCACATTCAGCGATGTAGTAAGGTAAAATAAAGTCTGGACCAGCTCCTTTTTTTTTCAGTCCAAGCCTTTTTTTTAAACTGGTTTTTCCCAAGTGACAAAATGACAATTATTGTTACCTAAAAATTTTAAATATTGGTTATTTGAATTATATTTATTAACACTGTTAGGATTGTATTATTAACACTGTTAGGATTGTAATCCTATAATTCCGATTCTCAATGGATATGATCATTATAAAACTTCAAAACACTACAATAAAAATGACGGTGTTATTGTATACATCAAGTCTTGTTTAGCTAACATTAAAGTAAAAGAACCTATAACAATTGAATTTAACTGTCTGGTGATTACTATAGGTGTAGATGTGGCTATTGTTGCTATATATAAACCACACGCTTTTGTTGATCCTTCAAAATTCTTTCAGTCTCTGGATCTTGTCCTCACGGATCTTAAATCATACCGAACCATTATTCTTGTAGGAGACATTAATATAGATATTGCTAATGGGTTTCATTCTACAAATACTTTAGATTATCTTGATCTACTTGTTCATCACGGACTTCTTCCTGGTCACAACTTCCCAACTCATGGTTCTACCAGTCTTGATCACGTTAATTTAAAAACTGCTTTTTCCGCTATGGTTCTAGTTCTGGAAACTACTGTAACAGACCACTTTGCCGTTATGTTTGCCCTCTCAAAAATTAAAATGAAATTATGTAATCGTAAATTTATAAAAAAAATAAATGAAGATAAGCTTATTCATGAATTACGCTGTATTAACTTTAACTCCGTATACACAACGAATGACCCTAACTTAGCTGTTAAATTCTTGGTCGAACCTATTATTTCAGCTATAGCCAACAATACCAAAACTTTATTTCTGTCTTGTAGACGTAGACCTATTAAGCCTTGGATCACTCTGGCTTTGTTGAAATGCATGCGAAACAGAGATAGATTATATAAAAAAATCGAAAATAGACCCATCAAATCAGATTCTTAGAATTACTTATAAAAGATATCGCAACTTCTGTACCAACCTCCTGCGAAATGCAAAAAAGTAATTATGAGAAGCTAGAATTTCAAAGAGCAGGCAAGAACTCCAAACAGCTGTGGAAAGTCATTCAAACTGTTACAAATTTATCTAAACAGCAATCAACGGCGTCTGATCTCCTAGACATCAACGAAATTAATACTCAAAAATCTGTTGAGGATATAAACACATATTTTTCAAATATAGGAAAATCACTAGCAGACAAATTAGAAAGAGGCTCGGCAATATTACCGGCATCCGTTACTTATTCCAAATCCTTTGTTTTGCTTGAAACTGACGAGAGTGAAGTCGAACGTTTGATTATGTCTTTGGATAATAACCGAACAGCTGGTTGGGATGGTATTTCTTCAGAATTCTTAAAGAAGCACAAAAATTTTATTATTTCACCTCTTACATATATTTGTAATTTGAGTCTCCAGACAGGTATTTTCCCTGATCTGTTTAAAAAGGCAATAGTTCACCCTATTTTTAAATCCGGCGACCGAAATCGTATCGAAAACTACAGACCTATATCAGTTTTGCCTACGATGTCGAAGATCCTCGAGAAAATAATTAACACAAGGCTTGTTAATTATTTAGAGACTAATAAACTGCTCTCTAAAAATCAATTTGGTTTTCGAAAAAAGTTGTGCACATCTGATGCTGTCCACAGCCTTATTGATTTTGTAATCAGGAATCTAGATATACGTCAAAAATGTATTGCCTTGTTTCTTGACCTTACAAAGGCGTTTGATACTGTTTCGATACCCATCCTAATTTCAAAACTTCAATCTTTAGGAGTAAAAGGAATTCAGTTATCTTTATTCAAAAGTTATTTAAGTAATAGAACTCAATGTGTTAGGATTGGTCCTTATAGTAGTTCTGACCTGCAAATTACATACGGTGTACCGCAGGGAAGTATTCTCGGCCCAAGTTTGTTTTTAGTATATATAAATGACCTGTGTAACATCAATCTTTTAAACGGGATGATCTTTTCCTACGCAGATGACACAGCACTTGTGTTTCATTCGAATACTTGGATTGAAACATATTCCCTTGCTCAAAAAGGGTTTGACGTTGTAAATAAATGGTTAAACGCGCATTTACTTACGTTGAACATAGATAAAACAAAATTAATAGACTTTTCTATTCGAAACACAAAAAATTCAACAACAAACTCATTACAAATCGTTGTTAAGCCTCCCCTTGATATAATAAATAGTACAGACAATAACGACCTACACTATATAAAAAAAAGTGACATCTATAAAATATCTCGGAATTATAATTGATAATAACCTCACATTTAAAGCTTACATTGAACACCTGTCTAACAGAGTCCGTAAACTTATTTACATTTTTAAACAATTACGTCAATCTGCAGATTCAGAAATCATGAAGATGGTTTATATGGCATTGTGTCAATCTATTTTATCTTATTGCATATCCACGTGGGGTGGTGCGGCTAAAAGTAATTTTATACAAATTGAACGGGCACAGAGAGCAGTTTTAAAAGTATGTTGTTTCAAACCGCGTATGTTTCCTACAGACCAACTTTACGACTATTGCCAAGTACTAACAGTTAGACAATTATTCATTTTAACCACCGCTCTCAAACAACATGCCTCAACCAAATATATCCCTGAATGGACACGACGTAACCAACTAGTTGCAAAGTCTACTCAAGTTAAAACTGCATTTAGTCATAGATTCTTCATATTCCTTGGCCCCTATTTATATAATAAATTGCATAAAACCTTATCCCTCTTTTCCCGAAATCAATATGAGTGCAAAAATATTATTCTCCAGTGGCTCCTTAAGCAAACCTATGCAAAAACAGAAAGTCTTTTAGAGGTTGTCGTGTAAAATACACACACACACACACACACACACACACACACACACACACACACACACACACACACACACACACACACACACACACACACACACACACACACACACACACACACACACTTTTCTAAGTTTTCTTAACCATAACCAATTATCTCAATTATGTACGACAAAAAAGTAAATAGAGTTAAACTTTATGTGTTAATGTTTTAGATATAATAGCATTCCTCGCAGAGGTGGGGACCTGGTGACCTGTAATACGGGTATCTTACCCACCATAGGCACCAGCGATCCACGGGCAAAGTTGTTTCGTACTACTTATAGGCTACTTATAACTCTAAATGTAACTTTGTTTTGTGGTGAGAAATAAACGTTATTATTATTATTATGTGTGGGGTATCTATATAGTTTTCTCATCTGGTTGGGATGTATAAATATATAATTATAAACGAAAATGAAAAGATAAATATACAAAAATATCAATGAAATAAAATAAATATGAAAATACATAAATAAATAAAAGCCCAACCAGATGGAAGCCCTCGGCAGGGGAGACCAAACGGCCGAGGGTTAGGGGGAAAGGGAAAGAAACCGGCGGACGATGCGGGCGGTATCGAGGAGCACCGCCTTCTGCATTTGAGCCTGGAGCGGTCCGCCACGTAGTCCCAGCCGCCTCAGATGACCCGAGAGGCTGACTGGGATTAGCCCGTTTGCAGAGACGACTACAGGAATAATTTCGGTCGGCAGACCACCCCACATGTCGGTCACCTCGTGAGCCAGGTCCAGATATTTTGTTTGCTTATCTGTTTCGGCTTTCACGAGGTTCTCGTCACACGGAATGGTAATGTCGACCAAAAATATCCTTGACTGTGCCCGGTCCATCAGCACAATATCAGGCTTATTCGCAAGAATAGTCCTGTCTGTGATGATGGCCCGGTCCCAATAGAGCCTGGGGCGATCATTTTCGAGCACGGCTTCCGGCAAGTACTTGTAATACGGCAACTTTCGATCCACGAAACCGTATTTCAGAGCGAGCTCCTGGTGTAGAATTCTGGCTACTAGGTTGTGCCTGTGCAAGTACTCAGAGTTAGAAAGCGCCGAACAACCGGAGATGACATGCCTAAGTGACTCACCGGGATGGCGACAAGCTCGACAGATGTCGATGGTGCCATCCTTTAGGATGTATCTCCGATAGTTGTTGGTCTTAATAACCTGATCCTGTATTGCACAGACAAAACCCTCGGTTTCCCCGAAGAGGTCACCAAAGCGTAGCCAGTGGAGAGAGGTTACTGTGTCTACGAAAGGCCCATGTAGAGACTTGTAGAACCTCCCGTGGAATAAACGTTATTATTATTATGGGGTATCTATATAGTTTTCTCATCTGGTTGGGTTCTATAAATATATAATTATAAATGAAAATGAAAAAATAAATATACATAAATATCAATAACATAAAATAAATATAAAAGTACATAAATAAATAAAAGCCCAACCAGATGGAGGCCCTCGGCAGGGGAGACCAAACGGCCGAGGGTTAGGGGGAAAGGGAAAGAAACCGGCGGACGATGCGGGCGGTATCGAGGAGCACCGCCTTCTGCATTTGAACCTGGAGCGGTCCGCCACGTAGTCCCAGCCGCCTCAGATGACCCGAGAGGCTGACTGGGATTAGCCCGTTTGCAGAGACGACTACAGGAATAATTTCGGTCGGCAGACCACCCCACATGTCGGTCACCTCGTGAGCCAGGTCCAGATATTTTGTTTGCTTGTCTGTTTCGGCTTTCACGAGGTTCTCGTCATACGGAATGGTAATGTCGACCAAAAATATCCTTGACTGTGCCCGGTCCATCAGCACAATATCAGGCTTATTCGCAAGAATAGTCCTGTCTGTGATGATGGCCCGGTCCCAATAGAGCCTGGCGCGATCATTTTCGAGCACGGCTTCCGGCAAGTACTTGTAGTACGGCAATTTCCGGTCCACGAGACCGTATTTCAGAGCGAGCTCTTGGTGTAGAATTCTGGCTACTAGGTTGTGCCTGTGCAAGTACTCAGAGTTAGAAAGCGCCGAACAACCAGAGATAACATGCCTAAGTGACT